CCGCCAGCCAACTTTCTGTCAACAGAACAATATCGTATGAATTCATTAAGACTTGCCGATAAAAAGTGTCGGTTTTGGTTCGTAGCCCTCGGACGTTCTGATAATATAAGGAAAGCCGACGTTCGTCAATAATAGCCATAGCAAGTAAAAACAACAATTGTATGTGTAATAAATAGGGGTACAATAAACCAATTTAGTTCAAAATAAGCAAAAAATATAATAAAGTAATTAACACAGATTGCAAGAAGTAGGTAGATGTTTAAGCAAATGGCATTAGAAAAGGAATAGTAATAAGCATTTACGCAAAAAGGCAAGAAATAGCACGCGGCAAGCGCAAGCACAAGCGAGAAGGGTATATTTTTATTAGTTAATATTGTGAAGTGAACAGCGCGATAATGAATACAAAAAACTATTATGCGAATACAAAAGAGATGTGTCCGAGTCGTTAACGAGGCAGAGGTGCGAAACATTTTACACAGATGAAACATTGCATTTGATAAATATGAAACAAAATTAAAATAAGTAATTGAGATATACGGAACTAAGAAGAGCACTGTTACATGTTGACAATATTTTAAGCAACTTTGTTTAAATCATTCGGTCTTACAATAACAAAGGCTTTGCTGGTATTATTTTTCCGCACATGAATTTTGCCATGCTTGACCCATACATACTCATAGTGCTTTTCTTTAGCAAGGTTTTTAACATTAGTTAACAGCTTTTTAGAGTCAGCACTTAGGTGATCATTAACAAAGACACGTTGAGGCGCTCCCAGAAGCCCTAGATCAGTTGTAGATAAGTTCCTGGTGCTTCGTGCGGCAGCAATAAAATCTTCTTTGATGTACCTATTGAGAAAACTGACTATGATCAGTTTCTCATTGGAGTTGTACATAGGAACTCTTGAGATATAATTAATTTGTGACTTCGGGAAGACGTAGTCGATCTTGCGTCCAATTGCGTCTACTAATGAAAATAGATTCTCACCTTTCTTTAGCGGGATGCCTTTAATCTCAACATTGTTAAGCCGGGACCGTTGCTCTTGCGCAGTAAGCTCGTGTTTAGTTTTAGCCAGCTCAGCCTCCACCTCCAGAAGTCTGGTATTGAATTCCTCTACTTTGTTACGAGATATGTCACAGGCTGCCTTTAACTCGGATATCTCATCTTTGATTAGTCTTATCTCTTCTACTAGTGTCGGTAAGCTAGTTAGCTGGCGTTTCATATCCCGAATTTCACGGAGAATGGTCTCTAGGGAGGCCGCGGAGTCGGTGGCCTCAGCCTGAGCTGGGAGTGCACTGGCTACGGGTGATGATAGTTTGCATGAAGCACATCTCCACTGTGCTCTTCGGTCTGCTCCTAACTTACGCCAGCCAGATTCAGAGATGTTTGCACATCCAAAATCGAGGACTTTCTTACAGGACGCACACTGAACACCGTCCGTGAATTTAGTATTACATAATGAACACAACTTCATTGTAGTTTTTTTTTTTTTCTACCTCACGTAAACTGCTAAACAAAGAACGAACTGTTACTAAAAAGGTTGACGATCTATTTAGTTCAAAGCGATGAGTGGCCAAACGTGCAGTACGGGTGAATGCTTACGAATGAATGAATATTTAGACCCTAAATAACGTAAAAATATGTTGCCAGAAATAATATTTTTTATAAATAAGTAACTTATTCTTATGTGTGTTTTTACGCTTTATTATATTAATAAAGATACGTTTTACCATAGTAGTATCATATAAGTTGTGTGTCCAGACTGGAGAACCGGCAGGCAGACCTGCTGGGTCTATACAGCCCGTTCCTGGACGAGGAGGAGGCGGTGGAGCGGCGGCTGGCGGCGGAGATGCCCTGCGAGCTCACCGGCCACAGGATACTGGTCGTCTGTCATCAGCTCAAGTATGTATACTTTGACAATTATCATTTTTATAATGAATTCTTTGTTTGATGTTTTTTTTGCAGTATTTTGGTTTAGTTCTTCAGAAATAAAAAATTGTGTTTTTTTAAATGCTTTTGTGGTTTGAATCATCATAATATTAAATGTAAAACTTAACTGTCTCCAAAATGGATTAACGGATCTGAATTGAGACACAGATGTAAAATATAATCTGCAAGAACATAGATTATTTAACATGTTTTTTTTTTAATTCTGCGAATGGATTCATATAACTGGATTTAAAACTTTTGTCATAGATCAATCAGTGAATCCGTCCGCGTGGAATTAAAAAAAACAAAAGTGGGTAGCCTAAGTGTTCTTCCTGACTATCTCTACTCCATGCCAAATTTCATCGAGAGCCGTTTAGTCTACAAACATCCATCCATCCATCTAAACTTTAGCATTTGTAATAAATATTTCCAGATTGGAATTAGACGTAGAACCTCTATTTGCGTCAATGGCGTTATTCGATGCGAAAGAAAAGAGGAAACTATCAGAAAACTTCTATTTCAACTTAAACTCCGAGAGCACACGTCAGATGTTGTCTGGGCACGTGGCGCACGCGGACGTGTCCACTCTGAGCCGGAGCGCCATCTTTGACATCATCAACCCATCGCCTGATATATTCCTCGTCGTTAGAGTCGAGAAAGTTCTACAAGGAGATGTCAATGAATGCGTTGAACCTTATATTAAGGACGATAAGGTTGGTATTACGTTGTATTTTTTTTGGGTGTAAAATATAACATATAAATACATCGATTGATGTTTTTTTTCTTGATGGTTTACTTTAAAGTTTTAATTTATAGTTTAACATCTTAAATACTAAGCTTAGTGACCCGAGAGTCTTTTTAAATTGTAGTTACTATACTAATGTCATGAACAAAGAATATTTTATTATCTGCAATTAATTAGAAAACGATATCACAGTAAATATGGATATGACGAAGTTGACATTTTCGATTTACGATATCTACAGTACAATCGACAAAATATATTAAAACGTATGGAAGTCACGTGACTTATCGTTAGATGTTGATTTCATACATTTTTCACATTTCTATCAGCGATAGCGATAATCGAATAAAATAACGTTGTATATGGGGATTGGAACGAATCTCTAGTACAAAATTTGCTATAGAAAATGTATATATTTCTTTATATTATTCGTAGAACCGTGAGAAAGTGCGTGCGGGTGCGCAAGCTGCGTGTAACCGATTAGGCAAGTACCGCATGCCGCTGTGCTGGAGCGCGGTGTCTCTCATCAACATCCTCAGCGGCTCCAACAGCCTTGAAAGAGATGCTGAGAAGGATGCCATCACTAATACTGCCAATCCAAATACCAACAGTCTGGGTGAGTAAAAGTTTTATTGTAACTTTCTACGTAATTTGAGAAAATAATTTTGTTTATGTTTACGGCCGAATACTATTCAATAATTATAAAAGCCGAATTTTACACACTTCGCTACGTATACTTTGCTTATAATAGGACTACAAATTCTAATAGGATTTGGAGTAGCATGGCCTTGACAGTTATACGCTGTTGCATATTTAAATGTCGTTTTAGTATTTGACCCTAAAAGTTGGCTTTCACAATCGATACAATTAGTTTTTTTACAATTATTGAAAAGAAAAAAGATATTTTAATATCGTAAAGTTTCAAAGCTAAGAAAAACATTACCCATATGCATATTTAATATTTTTCAATATGTTTCTTGTGTGTCATAGATCGCAAGGCGTCGTCCAGCAGTTTAGAGCAGCTGCGGCGGCGCGCGGGCGAAGTGGGGGGCTCACTCACACGCAAGGGCTCCATAGAGCGGCGCGCGCTGCCCGCACACCAGGCAGACGAGCTGGTCGCACACCTCGATACCTTTAAACCCATCGTCATCACCGTCACCAGCTTCTTTAAACAGGTAACTTATGTAAATAAAAAAAATAACAAAAAACTTGGCGCCTGTAAAAAAAAATAGCAGCAATATACAAAATACACGATCGTCACGTCACGATTTGAACTATGTTTGAATTTTTTTAGGAAACTGATAAACTTCGTGATGAAGATCTGTATAAGTTCCTCGCGGAGATAAAAAGACCGAGTTCAGCTCCGAAGAAATTGAAATGCATTCCCGGTACTTTGAAGATAGAAGTGTCACCTTGTCCGGAGGAAATTAAAAATGGATTGACACCAGAATTGGCAAAACTGAATCCTTATGGAGGTAAAGTCTTTAAAAAATTTTTAGAATCACGTTTAATTTTAGCTAAAAGTCGCTAACGCGGCGGGCTTAAAATACATTATACTATGAACTATTTTTCCAGTCGACAAGCTTGCATATGTATTATATAAGTAGCTTGTAACTTGTTACATGCGACTTCGTCCACGTGAAATTAAAAAGTAGTTTAAAAATATAGCTTATGTTACTCAGCGATAACGTAGCTTTTTAATGGTAAATGAATTTTTGAAATCGTCCCAGTAGTTTTTGAGTTATTACAATACATAATAATAAAAAAATACACAACTTTCCTCAAATACTAATGTTATAAAGAAGAAAGATTTGTATTTTTGTGTGTATTCAAATAACTCAAAAACTACTGGGACAATATTGAAAAATTTTTCACCATTAGAAAGGTATATCGGTGAGTAATGGCTATATTTTTTAATTTCACGCGGACGAAGTCACTAGCAACAGCTAGTATTAAGTATAAATATACTTATATGTGTTTTATTCTCTGTCAGACGAAGGCGTACGTCCTTGCAAGGAGGTGTTGCCATTCCCACCGCAAGGTGCGCCGGCGCCGCACTTACAGTACCGCAATCTACTCTACTTGTGGGTGCGGGACCTCAATCTTAATGCGTACACCTCGCGTGCTGGATCCGCTAGGAACATCACCGTATGTACCCCACTATACTCCCCCCTTTTTTCTCTATGCCCACTATAGATTATACATCGACAAGTTTCTGACCCGGCAGTTAAAAGTGGAATTCAATTATAACAGACACTACCTATCATTTTATTTCTAACTAAACTAGCTGATAACAGCGCCTAGGCAACTTGGTAGGCAACTGTACTTTGTTTATGTCCACCATAGACTGTTACATTATATTGTCTGTGCTCACTACTAACACTAACTGCACCTTGTCTTTGCCTAAAACAGATTACAACTGTTCCTTGTCTATGCCCACGACAGACTACAACTTTACATTGTCTATGCTCACGACAGACTTTGTTCTTACCCAAAAAAATAAAAGATACACTTATATCTTGTATGCCCATCAAAAACTACAATTCTACTTTGTCTATAGCAAATACAGACTATACCTACATCTTGTACCATAGACATGTAAATATTTCCAGGTTCGTATCCAACTGATGTCCGGCGAGGAGCAGGCGTCAGCGCTGCCCGCCATCTTCGGCCGCAGCTCCTGTCCGGAGTTCAGTACGGAGGCCTACACCACTGTGCTATATCACAATAAGTATGTATTACATTATATACTAAAGTGGCTAGCCTATATCTTCAAGGCTATTCTCTACATCTATGCCAAATTTTGTCGAGATCCGTTTAGACTGTCAACATATTCATCCTCTAAGAACATCTCTCTGTTTAAAATGTCGCATTTTATAAAGTTAGTAGGTATTTGTCTAAATATATTGACAGTATTTAAATTATTTTAAAATATAGTAAACACCAAAAATCTTAATTATACTGATATATTTTCGTGTCGCTTTCTTCTAATATATTTACAGTAATTAATATATTGAATCCTATATATATTTAATTTAACACCAGGAACCCATCTCTATACGACGAGATAAAGCTGAAACTACCGGCGGACTTAGGAGACCAGCACCACCTGCTGTTCACGTTCCTGCACGTTTCCTGCCAGAGGAAGCCGGTGCCGCCCGAGCAGGAGAAGAGTGTAGAAACACCTGTCGGATACTCGGTGAATATCTGTTCACTCGCACTTGTATACTTTTACCTCAACTTTGTAACCGTCTACAGACGAAATGAGTTAACCGATTTTGATGAATTTGGTGTCAATCGATTCGTCTTGATCCTCGGAGTGTTATAGGGTATATAAGCTGTTGCTCACGACTTCGCCTGCGTGAAATAAAAAAAATAGTAATATCTTAGCTTATGTTACTAACTGATAATAAAGCTTTATAATGGTGAACTAAATGTAAAGCCTAGTGGTTTTTAAGTTATTTCAATACAAACAAAAATACAAATCTTTCCTCTTTATAATATTACTATAGACACAGACATCGCCATAAAACATCTACAGTAACTTGAGGATTGAAATTCCAAAAAAAAAAAATGCAGAAAAGAGCAAAGTACAAATCACATTTGTCATTTTTTTCATTTGTTTAATCTTTTTTTTTAAGGTTTTCGAGTATTTTCATCTTAGATATTTGGGTCTTTTCTTTTTTTTTAAATTAAATACTTGTGCAGTGGCTCCCGCTATGCCGCAACGGCAAGCTGACGTGCGGCGAGTTCAGCCTGCCGGTGATGCAGGAGGAGCCGCCGCCCAACTACAGCTACATCTTCCCCGACGTGCTGCTGCCCGGCACGCGCTGGATTGACAACCACAAACCCATATTTACCATATCACTGGACGCGCACACCACTGTACATCCATTGGTGAGAAAAACTGAGACATTTCTCTTTACTCATCTCTCTCTCCCCATCTCTTCTGCTCTCTCTTCCTCGCCCTTCTCTCTCACTCTCTCCCTCTCCGTCACTCTACTCATCTCCCCTCTTTCATCCTCTCGCCCTCTCTCCATCACTTTTCTCCTCGCTCTCATCCTCTGCTCCCTCTCTCCATAACTCTTCTCCTCTCCCCCCTCTCTCTCTCTCTCTCTCACACTTTCTATATCTATTAATACATACAATCCACAGGACGGGTATATAGAGAGGTTCGCGATGGCGTGCGAGGCGGTGCAAGAGGGTAACATCCCTCCGAGGATCGGCCTCGCCAACATGGAGGCTGAACTGCGCACCAGGTATTATATTATTTAAATATTGATTATGAATAAACAATCGGAGATTATTCCGGTCGATAGTACGGTAATGCAAATTGATTCGTATTTACCCCTGAGTTGTCATGTGGCTGTCAAATATTTTTTTTTTACTTTTATCTTATTTGCGTTTATAATTCCAAAATCCCGTTTTATTATTATTATTTTCTGTCCGTGTTTGTGACGAGATTTTGACGACAATGGTTTCATTTTAATTCTGCATTGACTTATCGACGTATTTTTCCCGTCGGGTCGATTGATTGTATGAATTAATTCGATCTATGGGTAAAATCCCATTGTAAGATTTTGTGTGTTTGTCAGTATATCGGAGCTGAAGCAGGCGAACGTGGAGGTGATGGCGCGCTACCTGTGCGTGGTGTGCGACAAGCTGCTGCAGCTGCTGGCGGCGCCGCCCGCGCTGGCCGGCCACACGCTCAACATCGCGCAGGACGTCTTCACCTGCCTCGCGCAGATATTTACCGATATCACCGTATGTACTATTAACAGTAAATTTCAGCTCATACTGATAAAACTGTCTATATGTGTAGTGCGAAGGATCCAGCTGAAAACCAGCGCAGGTACTTAGTCCCTCCTGCATACGCTGAGCTGGTTACCTTTTGCCACGATTTGTTTTCTTTAGAATTAGTCCCTATATGTAATTTCTTTTTCAGTCTATAAAGACATATTCACTCATTCATTCATTCATTCATTCATTCATTCATTCAATATGTAACAAAAAAAGAAAGGATGTAACAAGCACGCAATTCGTTTTAGCCACAAAAATGTCACACACTACATTACAAATGTAAAGTATTACAATGTGTTTGTTATAAGGACAGTTTGTTACCCGACTAACATAAAGTGGTATTTTTTACGCGCTAACATTGTATGTAAATTCCGTTGTAACGACTTACAGCTTAAACGAAATAATAGATTTTGATGAATAAGGTGTCATTTGATTCGTCTCCTTTCCTGGTGTGTCAGGATATTACATATGCACATAGCGCCTACGTGAGATGTAAAAAAAGTAAAAAGAAAGTTCAAATCTATGATATCTTATTCATGATTAAATATTAAAAAAAATTGAAGCGTGGCTTTATCATTTAAGATTATATAAATATCGTTTTAGTATAGGGACGTGAATTACCAATTCGTTACAGAACATGAACGAGGGCGCGTCGTGTGATGCTCACGGACGCAGCAGCCTCATCACCTGCTACGTGCAGTACCAGTGCACCATCCCGAGACCCTCGCTCGCTGACGCTGACATCGGTCTGCCTCTGCCGCCCTCCGGTAACAACAACACTTTTATCAACATCAACACTTTCATCAACATCAACACTTTTATCAACATCAACACTTTCATCAACATCAACACTTTTATCAACATCAACACTTTCATCAACATCAACACTTTCATCAACATCAACACTTTCATCAACATCAACACTTTTATCAACATCAACACTTTTATCAACATCAACACTTAAACCAACGTTAACACCAAAACCAACATTTAAAAAAAGAAGAGTAAATATTTCATTTTGTGATAACATTAGTTATGAGCGACGGGTCCTGCAAGATCCTGCACGAGGAGCTGGCGCTGCAGTGGGTGGTAGCCAGCGGCGCCACCAGGGACCTTGCCATGCACAACTCATGGTAAACAACATATATAAATTGTCTTGGAACTAACTTTTTATAACTTACTAGCTGTTCCTTAGCAGCGTCATCCGCTTGACTAAAAAACATCATTTTACGTTTACTCAAATGACAACCAAGGCCTTTGGTTTTAGCTGACAATATTACTGACTATGACATTCTTGCTTCTTTGCTTGGCTTGTAGTTTTTTCCTTTTCTCGTAGAGCTTTTTTTTTTTTCAATTTACTGATCTGCTAAGTTTATTAATAACGTGGAAAAATGTAGCCTAAAGCGTGTCGTATATATGAGGGTATTTATTTAAAAAGAGGATTATTCAAAAATATGCTGTGATTACATCTTACATAACAAAAAAAGTTAGTGTACGCTTTAATATATATTAAGAAACTGACTTATAAAATTAACATAGGGTTGTCCATAGTCAATTTTTTATAATTTTTGTTGCCAGGGGTCTGTTCGAGCTGATGATAAAATCGATGGTGGAGTATTTATACTGGAGCGGAGCGCACGAGGCGCCGCGCAAGGCGCGCTTCCCCGACCAGTTCACTGACGACCTCACCACGCTCGTCAACAACGTCACCGCGGAGATCATATCCAGGTAAAAACGTTTAAAACACTTTAAATCTAATTATAATAACTAATTAAAAGAATCTAACCAACAAGAGATGTTTTTTAGAGTTTATTTTATGTATTTATGCCTGATTTTAATAAAATTTGTACATTCTACACTGTTTTTCCACCTGGACTTGAATATGGTCCTTCGAGCCGTTTTTGTTCGTAGATTTTTGTTTAATTAACTACTATTTCTTGTACCAACACCGCATAAAAAAAAAACAAAAACAAGTAGCGTTTGTGTTCTTCCACACTATTCTCTACATCTATGCCAAATTTCATCGAGATCCGTTTAGTTGAGGCTACCAACTAACATCCATCCATCTAAACTTTCGCATTTATAATATTAGTAATATTGCTCACAGCTACGGCAGCAACAGCCGTCTGACGCAGAGCCTCAACAACAGCCTGGCGTTCTTCCTCTTCGACTTGCTGAGTGTGATGGACCGCGGCTACGTGCTGGCGCTGGTCCGCGGGTACCACAAGCAGATGTCCGCAAAGATCGCCTCGTTACCAGATGCTGTGCCCCTGGTGCACTACAAGGTATCACCCCCACAACTCTCCTTAGATTTCTTTCTCCCTCTCTATATCTCTTACATGATGCAATAGAATGTAACACCCTGTATCTCTACATAGATTACATATAAGATCATAAATATGCAGTCACTAGTTGTTGTTAGATCCGTTAACTAGACGGCAAACTCTAACAAACAAACATCCATCCATCCATGTAATTTTTGCATTTATGATATTAGATAATAAATAAGATTATACTTTACTAAAATGACACTTATACTAGGTCATAGTAGGGTTAAGCGGTTTTTATATGGTTTTTATTTGATTTTCTGGTATGAAATAATCCTGTTATCTTTTATTTAGTTGTCGTTCCTGCGCATCATCTGCTCGCACGAGCACTACGTGTCGCTGTGCCTGCCGGCTGAGGGCGAGCTGGAGGCGGAGGGCCCGCCGGGGGGCGGCGGGGGCGGCGGCGCCTCCCCGCGCTCCGGCTCCACCTCGCAGCCGCCGCCGCTGGCGCTCAGCACCGACTTCCGCTCCCGGCACTACCTGGCGGGGCTGCTGCTGGCCGACCTCACCTCGGCGTTGGAACTGCAGTCAGTATTTCAGACTATAGCTCAAAAATCAAAAAAGATTAAATTATTACTATAGATTTCTAATAATAAATTGAGTCAAACAATATTTATTGCTTGTGTAAAAGAACCTTATTTTGTTCTTGCTTTGTTAAAATTATTACTTTTTTTACCTAAATTGAAGAAGAAAATGGTCCTTCGAGCCGGATATTGGGCAAGTATTTTTGGGTGGAACTTCGGTGGCTCAGTGGTTAAACACTTAAATTGTAACATACAGGTTTTGGATTCGAATCCCGCTATTTGCCAATGTGCTTGTTTATTTTTGTTTAGTACGTAGTAGCCCTTATGGTGAAGGAAAACATGGTACATACACATCTGCAAATAAATGACGTCAACTGGCCTAGTTACGCCTGAGGGTAGGTTCCGAGGTCCTCAGTTGGAAGCTGTATCTGATGGTGTGCAGGAGCCCGGTGCTGCAGCAGGCGGCGGTGAGCGGCGTGCTAGCGCTGCTGACGGCGCACGACGCGGACCCGCGGCTGCAGCCGGCGGCGCTGAAGGCGCGCGTGGCCAGCCTCTACCTGCCCTTGCTCGGGATACTCATGGACGTACAGCCGTTGCTGCATCGAGGTTTCACCACGGGGAAAGGTACAGTTAGAGAAATACGCGGTGAAACACTTTCAGAAAAAAATCTTTTTACATTGCAAACTTTGCACAAATAATTAGATAGCAGTGGGATGCAAACGTAGGGAAAGTACTACTGACTTTTTTGTAAACCTTATGTTAATAAAATTTAATAAATATTTTCAGAATCACTTCAACTAGATGGTGAATTAAGTCAGTTCGGCAATTTTTACACAACATCTTCACCGGAGGATTTCAAGCAGGTAAATTTTGTTATCAACAAAATTGATTTATTAATTTTTTTCTTAATTTGGAAGTGATTATTTTTTTTCAATTAGTTGGTATTGACAAAAAATGCATTATTTGCGATAAGAGGAAAGATTTGAATTGTTAAATGTACTGAAATAATACAAAAATGTGAGGATGTGTGCAGAAAGGGCGCGCGGCGCTGAACAGCGAGACGAGCCGCAGCCTGCTGATGTGCCTGGCGTGGGTGGTGAAGTGCACGTCGCGCGCCGCGCTGGCCGCCTGCGCCGCCGCGCTGCCCGCGCCGCGCCTGCACCAGCTGCTGGCGCTGCTCGACCTCTGCTTCAGCTGCCACCAGTACAAGGTACTACATTGTGAATCCTTCCTCACCTCTATATGTGTCAATTAGGGTTGGAACGCAGGATATTTTAACGGAAGCGGAGGTTAACGGAAGTGGAAGCGGAGGTCAATAATATTCCTTTATAATTATTTGCGATTTATTAAAGAAATATTAAATAAAACTACGTTAATTCAAAATACAGATTGGTACATAATTACAAGATACAGTTTATTATGCGAATAAAATATATAACAATTATAGTTAGTTGACCTAGCTCGCCCGCGCGGGCCGCATAAACGTTACCTAATCGCCCCACTCGCGTTAAAAGACGTAAATTAACCTCCGTTATAACTCTGTATAAGAAATAACGGAAGCGAAAGCGGATGCGGATGCGGAAGTGGAGTTCAGTTACAACCCCAATGTGAATCCCCTACCCCCACTCCTCCGCCCCCTCAAATTTAATACTAACTAACCTTTAATTTATAGTAACCAGTATCAGATTCAAGTAAATTTTATTCCAGGGTCGCAAAGAAATACTGAAATGTGCACAACAAAATGTTCGTAAGACGACAGATATAAAAGCGAAGTTAGAAGACGTTATATTGGGACAAGGATCCGCTCGGAATGACTTTATTATGCGCCGTAAAGGTAAAAATTATTTTAAAACACATTTAAACTAATATTATAAAGAGGAACATTTGCAATTCTCTATGTAAATGATAAAAACTAGTGAAACGATTTCAAAAATTATTGGATAGCTAAATTGTCACCGTTTGTTACTTTAAAAAATATGTTTATTATTTATGTCGGAGTTGGGTCTTTCTCCCCGACATCATTACTACCGGGTCTTGGTTTCGGATTAAAACGTAAGATAACGTTTGTTACACATAAAGCAACAATCAATTTATAGCTTCCTGCGACATATATTTTAATAAATTTCGCGGATGAAATCTTAAGCAAAAGTTAGTACCTTGGGCAATTTGATAGAAAGTCACTCTCAATATTTTTTCATTAATATTCTTTATGCACAACTTTATAAATTATTTATTAATTTTAATGGTATTGTGAGAGTTTATTACTGTTATGTATAATATATGTCAAATTTATTTAAATGTTTAGATGAAGCTTTTAAATAGATTGTAAATTATATCCAGGTGGCTCATCAGGGCGAGGGTGCGGGGGGCGTGGCCGCGAGCGCTGGCGCAAGGAGTGGGTGCGGGGAGGGGCGCGCTCCCGCCCCGCCTCCCCCGCACGCCCCCACCCCGCGCTGGCCGCCGCGCTCGCCGCAGAGCTCGCCCTCGCGCTGCTGCACGCACTGGAGACCATCGTGCAGGTACAGTCGCGGCAATACGCGGTGTCACACTTACAGAATAAGAATTGTACCTTATAGACTCTCTCCTCTTATCAACGAACTGTTGCCCGCGACTTTGTCCGTGTGGTATTGGAAAAAATACAAACTGTATAAATTACAAAAAGTTACGTATCCCTCGGGAACCGGATATTTCTCGGGGATGAAGCTTATCCCATGTGTACTCCAGACTTTGTTTTATATCTGTGCCAAATTTTAATAAGATATGTTGAACCGTTGCAGAATGATCGAGTAAACATTAAAAAACTAAATTAATGAATCCCACGGGAACCGTAACTATTCCCGGGATAAAAAGTAGCCTATGTGTTTTTCCAGACCATGCTCTAAACCTGTACCAAATTTCATAGAGAGCCGTTCAGCCGTTTGGGCTACAAACGCTAACAAACATCCATCCATCCATCTAAACTTTCGCATTTATAATATTAGTAAGATTGAACTGCAGTTGTGCTAACAACTAGATAATGATAAAGCAACTAGACGTGTACCACTGACTTAGTAAGAAGAGTGCCGTTGAAACCATCACGAACGAACTCTACCTCGAATGGAAACATACCTCCAGCGACAAGGAAACACTTTTGACATCGGAATCTACCCTTCTACGACATACAGATCAGTTTTTTTTTCTGTAGTCCGTGAGTGGTGTGGAGTGGGGCCAGGCGGCGTGCAGCGCGGCGCTGGGCGTGCTGCTGCGCGCGCTGCAGCGGGACCAGAGCGCGCCCGTGCTGCAGCACATGTTCGCTTCCGTGCGCGCGCTCATACTCAAGGCAAGTACTCTCACCTCATACGGGTCTCAGTATGTTAACTACTAGCTGTTCCTCCCGACGTCGTCCGCAAGGAAAAAATGGTAAAAAACATAGTTAATAGTACTCACTGATAATCTATGGATTGTTTAGGGTGTACTAGCTGTTGCTTGTGATTTTGTTAGCGTGGTTTTAAAAAAATATAGCCTATGTTATTCAGTGCTATTACTTAAAAACTACTGAGTCGATTTTAAATATTCTTGCACCGTTAAAACGCTATGTTATTAGTGATAATCATAGGCTATGTTATTAATTATTTTTTAAGTTTAAGTGAGCGAAGTCGCGTGCAAAAGCTTATCACGTAACGTAATTTTTTAACGGTGAAAGAATTGAAATCTACCCAGTTTTTTGAGTTATATCAATACATACAAAAACACAAATCTTTCCTCTTTATTATAGTATAGACTGGCTTTTGCACGCGACTTCGCTCACGTGAACTTATAAAGTAATGAATTACTTAGACTATGTTGCTCACTAATAACATAGCGTGTTAACGGTGAAAGAATTTTTGAAATCGACCCAGTTTTTGAGTTATATCAATACATACAAACAAAGATACAAATCTTTCCTCTTTATAATATTAGTACTGTTAAAAAGAAAAAGGGGGCTGCACCATTGGCCTATAAATTCCGTTCCTATCTGACAGCTGTCAATGTCATTCGGACTTACTGGAATAGCGCGCCATCTTCGTAGGATTAGCGGCTCTAAGTGTTTAATTACGTTAATACAATTACAATAATTTGTAATAGTGGTATTCCAGTTGGGGTGGTCGTGCTGCGGCGAGGAGTCGGGCATCTGCCGCGTACTGCTGCGGCACTGCGCCGCGCTGGCGGCCGGCACGCGCGCGCACGCCTCCGCCACGCTGTACGCGCTCATGCGCCAGCACTACCAGCTCGGCAATGTAACCACATTCGTAATATATTTAACTTGTCACTGACAGCGCGGCAGACGGAAAAACCAAAAAAAACTTTTCTTTAATTTATATTTAACAAAACTATTCTTTTCCTTTTATTGTTTCTATCATATCTTTTTAATAACCACTCAAATGTCTTGATGGCCAATCTGCAACCTCTTTGGCTGTATTCATACTGCTTGTCAGCCAGAGAGGTTGTATTTTGCACTTAACACATTACCTAACAAAAACAGGGAAAGGAAACGTAATGGAATATTTGTTAAAAATAATGGAGAAAGAAAAAATGTACAAAAAAAACTAAACAATTAATAATAAGTACATAAGTAGATATAAGTAGTAGTACTAGGAACTCAATAATGTAGCATAAGGCTTACGCTACAGAAAAAAATAAACTGCAAAAAAGAGTACGGACTAAGAGTCTGTAGATGTTGTTATAAAAAAATCAACATAACAAACTCCAATTCATTAAATTTAAATACTGACAAATGTTTACAGAACTTCAGTCGCGTCAAGATGCAAGTAACCATGTCATTATCCTCCCTGGTGGGGACTTCCACCACATTCAGCGAGGAGGCGCTTCGACGTGCCCTTAAAACTGTGCTCGTGTACGCAGAGCGCGATGTCGAACTACAAGACACGTCTTTCCCTGAACAGGTACCACCCACAAACATATAAACCACGCCTATAATCATATAAGCAACGCCCACAAGCATATAAGCTACATCCAAAAGCATATTAGCTACACCCATAAGCATATTAGCTACGCTCACCATGATAAGCTATGCCCATAAGCATATAAACAAAACCCACAATCATGTAAGCCACGCCCTCAAGCATGTAAACCACGCCCACAAGCTTATAAGCTACGCTCACAAGCATATAAGCAACGCCCACATAATTTGCACATTATATTTACGGGATATATTTTCTAGGTAAAAGACTTGGTGTTCAACCTGCACATGATACTAAGCGACACAGTGAAGATGAAGGAGTTCCAGCAGGACCCGGAGATGCTGCTGGACTTGATGCACCGCATCGCGCGCGGCTACCAGCACAGCCCCGACCTGCGGCTCACCTGGCTCAACAATATGGCGCAGAAACATATGGAGGTGCTATACTGTTTAAGCTATCGCGAAATATCAAAAACTAATGAAATGGCTCGATTCACGTATAATCAGGTGTACACCAACTAGTTTTGGACCCGTAGATTGTCTGCCTGTAATTGTTTATGTTATAAGGTGGCATATGAGTAAGCGGCCACCTTAATCCGCCAAAATGGCGAAGCGACCACTACCCCTAGACATCCGCAATTGCAGATACGTTGTCCACCCTTAATCGACGGAGGAGACAGACCACAATAAGAGGATTTTTCCCGTTCCTATGCGTCTCTTCCAACGTCAAATCCACTTTCCCATTCAATCCTTTCCTTATAGAAAGAGGGTGGAACGGGAAAGGACTAAAATTAGTGCTCCGGAGCACTCATCAGATTGTAGACGGAATCGTTTCCACTTGACGCCTGTACTGTGTGGCGAGTGCAGTGCGAAGATGTTAAAGCGGGATTAAAAGGTATGTAATTGTGTCAGAGGTCGAACCACCTGGAGGCGGGCATGTGCCTGGTGCAGGGCGCGGCGCTGGCGGCGGAGCAGCTGGCGGCGGGCGGGCGCGGCGCGGCGCTGCTGCAGCGCGTCACGCACAACGCGCTCGACGAGAGCTGCGCCGACGTGCTGCACCACCACCTCACGCACCAGGAGCTGCAGGTACACTCACGGGAGTACGCGGTGCGACGCAACGCAAAATGTCACTATCAAAGTTTATTATAATCCCTTCGTTTGCACTGAAAGGTATCCAATTAGTGATTTGTAGGAAGAGACGGAGTTTTCTCGTAATGATAAAGACATTTTTTCTTAAAACGGTGCACCGCGGATTACCGCGACTGTACGTAATGTACAATCGCGGAAATACGCAGTGCTCTATAAATCGCCTTGTTTCTTGCAAAGAGATAAATGCTCTTCATTGAAAATAATAATTGTTTTTTATATTCAACGCGAGCGAAGTTCGGGGGCGAAAGCTAGTTATAAACTGTGTATTTGCGTGTCAGGCGCTGCTGGAGCACGCGGCCAGCGAGCTGATGTCGGCGGGCATGTACGAGGCGGTCAACGAGGTGTACAAGGTGCTCATTCCCATCGCAGAGGAGCAGCGCGACTACAAGAAGCTCGCCAACATACACGGGTACTTTAAACTATCGGCTTCAATGTTTGTTTGTCCTTCTTTGAGAAAAGATTTGAATTTTTGTATATATTGAAACAACTCAGAAACTAAACTATTGTACCTATTTTAAAAATTCTTATACCCTTAGAAAGTTTTTTTTATCTGTGAGTGTCATAGGCTGTCTTTTTAACCGTTTCTTTTTTATTTCACGCTGACGAAATCGTAAGCAACAGCTAGTATACAATATTTCTATTCGTGAGGACCTATACCTGTAAACCATTACATAGTTTGTATTAAATAGCTACTAGTCTTGTTTAAAAAAAATACAAATTTAAAATAAGTCTTCTTATGCATTCCCGCGTCTCTGCTACGTTCCAAATCATTCCAGACGTTTCGGAGATTACATTGAAGAAATGCAATGCGACAGATATATTTTGTTTACTGTATATATTTGAAAGTTGAAGCAAGTGTTGTTGTCAGTAAACTGAACGAGGCGTTCCTGCGCATCGAGCAGCTGTCGGGCAAGCGCGTGTTCGGCTCCTACTTCCGCGTCTCCTTCTTCGGCGCGCGCTTCGGCGACCTGCACGCCGAGGAGTTCATCTACAAGGAGCACGCGCTCACCAAGCTGCCCGAGATCTTCAGCAGGCTGGAGGTACACCCCCCTCCCCCCGCCCCCGCCCCGCACCTGCACTTACAGCTACAGTTTGAATGTTTTATATGTCGTAGGAGGTTAGGATATTCCGATGTCAACAGTTTCCTTGTCTCTGGATAATGAAGTGAGTTCTTGCTTTAACCCGCTTTAACATGTTAGCAGTGCAGGACCGCCAGCCCCCAGTAATACCACGACCACACAGAAGACAGGCGTCAAATGGAAGCAATTCCGTGTACAGTCTGATGAGTGTGGTGCCGGAGGCCTAATTTAAGTCCCTTTCTCTTTACCACCCTTTTCTTATAAGGAGAGGTTGGGAAGAGGAAGTGGGTTGACGGTGGAGGAGATGTAGAAGGGGAAATATCCTCTTTATGTGCGTCTCCTCCTCCGTCGTATAAAGGTAGGCAACGCATCTGCAATTGCGAATGTCTATGGGCAGCGGTCGCTTCGCCATTTTAGCGATTTCAGGTGGCCGCTTGCTCGTTTGCCACCTTATATATTGACTCCATCAAATGCCGACAGATGGCGCTGGCGTTACGTAATTCTCTTTAATGTCGGAATGTCGCTAGTGTTGCAATGCTGGCGCTATTATCGCCACGATGGCGCTAGTGTTGCCTCGTTTAGATGTATCAATTGGACGATACGGAATATACAATAGGATGTTGCTTTTATGTGTCTGAACTAAAAAAGGTATATAGTATATGGTTTTGCGTTTAATGGCTGTCCCTTAGTTTGTATAACTCTCTGCTACTTTATTGGTTATCTGTAAGCAGAGGTAGATATTGTCTCATTGCAAGGAACGAAGAAAAAAAAAGTGGAACACTGTGAATTTCCCTGACTGTACATAAGTTACAAATAAACAACACCATTTTCTAATTGAACATTGAATACAAACTGCGTTAACATTGACTACACTAAACTAAACATATATTTGGTATTTTTCAGAACTTCTACGGGTCCCGTTTCGGTGTGGACAACGTGGTAATAATAAAGGACTCCAACACGGTTGACCCCGCCACGCTGGAGCCCGACAAGGCCTACATCCAGATCACCTACGTGGAGCCCTACTTCGAGCCGCACGAGCTGCGCAAACGCGTCACGCACTACGAGCGCAACTATAACATCAGTTAATAATTACACTTACTAATATTATAAATGCGAAAGTTTGGATGGATGGATGGATGTTAGAGTTTGTAGCCTAAACGGCTGGAAGGATCTCGATGAAATTTGTTTAGATGTAGAGGATAGTCTGGAACATATAAGCTACTTTTGTTTTTTTTTGTACCACGCTAACGAAGTCGCGGGCATCAGCTAGTTACTAATAAATAACAATAATATCAGGAATCGAATAAAATACTCGGTATTCAAAAAGTTGTTTAAAAAACCTATTTACGTAGAATTACAGCTAATTTAAATTGACTAAGAAATAAAAATAAAATACTCTCTCTAAAAAGAAAGTCTACAAGTGGGTTTTCTCAAAGAAGGCACAGATTTCTCTACTTTTTATAATACAATATTTTTGTATGTGAAATAACTCAAAAATTACTTAACCGATTTTTAAATTTTTAATAGCTATGTTATTATTGAGTAACATGTTTATTTATTTTTGTAATTTGACGGACGAAGTCGCGACCAACGGCTGATATTAGTAATTTTATTAAACGGAGTACGCTTGCAGATATTCCTTACTTTACCTTTCACCTGAGTCCTATATTTGCGTTACATCAATCGATCGAACTGAAAACAGTTACTGATGTATTAACATTGCTGAGAACGAAAATCGCATTTAAAAAAATGTCTGTCTGTCCGCAAGTTGCGTTAGTTACCGGTAATCTCTGAAACGTTTGGGCAGATTTTGACCAGACTTTCATTGGAGGGTAACTGACACGGACGGGCATATTATAGGCTTTTTTTTTAATTCCGCGCTGTCAAAATGGCAACGGGAGCGCTATCTCAGGAATGGGTGGCCCAATTTGGACCGGTCTTTGACTGAAAGATAGCTGGTAGAAGGTAGATGCACGTGGGAATATGATGTAAAGTTTGCGGGCGACAGTTATAAATAGAATGTAATGCGTGTGCGCAGAACGGTTCATGTACGCGACGCCGTTCACGGTGTGCGGGCGAGCGCACGGCGCGCTGGCCGAGCAGTGCAAGCGCAAGACCATCCTCACCACCGCGCACCACTTCCCCTACGTCAAGACACGCATACAGGTACCCCACTACTTAAATGACCACCTGAATCCGCCAAAATGGCGAAGCAAACACTGCCATAGACATCCGTAATAGGCAATATTCATATGACGCCAAATTGTACCAAACTTTTTTTAAGTAAACTTTATTACTATAAAAACAGTCCTGCAAAGATTTTTTTAAAATAATGTGATTTAGTGGCAAAATTTAATCATTAAAAAGTGTCTTTTTTCAAATTCCCTCGCTAAGTTCTAAAACGTACACTATTGGTCGAAGCAAGTGACTTATCTAATATGGCGTCGCTGTGTTCACAATACACAGTTCATTTACGTTAGTTTATATAGAAATACACTCTTGAAGTGTTTTACTGTAAACACGATATCAAAACCAACTTTAAAATAAAAAAAAATCTTGAATAGAATTATTAATTACCACTTATTTGTACCAGGAATAATAAAAATTAATCGATTTTTGACTTTTTGACCTTGAGTTTTGTTGTTTTTTACATCGCAGTGACGTCTGAGCGTATGTTATGAATGGAATGAGACGATTCACGTCAATTGTCTCATGACAACTCCGGTTGTGTTAAAACATTATTTTATTATTTTTAGCTCAATGGTTGAATATTAAACCCACCCTTAATTGATGGAGGAGGAGACGCTATGTGCGTAAAGATATTAAGAGGATATTTCCCCTTCCTATGCGTCTCCGCGCCGTCAAATCCACTTTCCATTTCCATCCTTTCTCATCAAAAAAAGAGTGGAAAGGAAAAGGGACCTAAGTTGGGCCTCCGGCACCACACTCATCAGACTGTACGCGGAATTTCTTCCACTTGACGCCTGTACTGTGTGGTCGTGGTATTACTGGGGGCGAGCCCTACAGTGCAAAGATGTTAAAGCGGGCTCTACCACTGTTAAATTCCATTTGTTATATTTCCAGGTTGTACAACGGACTCAAATCATTCTCTCGCCAATCGAAGTCGCCATTGAAGATATACAAAAGAAGGTAACAATTGCATTAAAGTTATATCTTTGGCCCATGACTCTACATAGAAGAAAAAGGGGTCTGTGTTCTTCTAGATTATGTTCTACGTCTGTGTCAATTTTCATCAAGGTGAACTAAGTTGTTCTGGAGATGCAAACATCCATCCATCTAATCATATTAGTAAGAACATTTAGCGTAAACGAATCTTACTAATATTATAAATGCGAAAGTTTAGGTGGATGGATGTTTGTTTAAGTTTGTAGCCTAAACGGCTGAACGGATTTCAATGAAATTTGACATATAGAGGATAGTCTGGAAGAACACATAAGCTACTTGGTTTTTTAATTCCATGCGTATGGAGTCGCGGGAGAAAGCTAGTAGATATGTAAATAAATATTAATATGGTTTTAAAAGTGTAACATTAATGTAATAAGATCGCGGAGCTGGCGGCGGCGACGTGCCAGGAGCCTGCTGACCCCAAGATGCTGCAGATGGTGGTGCAGGGCTGCATCGGCACCACCGTCAACCAGGGGCCGCTGGAACTCGCACAGGTACCACCCACTACCTCCTCCTTTCATACATGTATCCGGCTCGAAGGACCAGAAAATCGCCGGTACAATTCTTATGTCAAAGTTCAAATGAGGTTCTTTGACTAACAATTTTGCTTCTTTGCTGCTATTGGCTTGTAGTTTTTGTCTCTTTCTCTCATGATTATCTTTTCTATTAATCCTACCCCTGTGTAAAAATATATAGCCAAAAAAGTGTCGGAAGTGTAAGGCTATTTAAAAAAAAACGAATTATTCAATAATATGTTTTGATTGACTTTCCTATGTAATAAAGTGTGTGTTTACGCTTTATTATATTGTATAGACAACGCGATTATGTACTGTGCAGGTGTTCCTGGCGCCGGTGGCGGAGGGCCGGCAGCCCCCCACGCGCCTCACCAACAAGCTGCGTCTCGCATTCAAAGATTTCTCCAAAAAGTAACTTTCAACATTTCACACATCATTTTATATTCCACAGAATAATAATAATTACCTTATGTTTCGCAACGAGACAAAATTCCCCACATATAATTACGTAACAATGAGTTATGGCCCTAGTTTGGACACAGTCCCTTGCCAAAGGGGAAAATTAATAAAGTATTTTTTTAGCGAACTATTAAATCTTGTCGCGTTATTAAGGAAAACAAGCACATCAGCTGGCTTCAGTTCATTATCTGCCTTCGACTTGACTGCTTCCTAAACTTCTGGGCAGCAGATACTCTGACCCCCAGACGGCACTCTCCTTCGACTGCCTCATGTAGGAGCAACTTCCACATCCAAGGAGGAACAGTAGTCACAAGGAACAATAATAATGGAAAACTTCAGCCTCAGCGAAAATAAAGGGTCAACGTTTTTTTCATAACACGTGTCTGGCTGTCAAAAGTGACAGATCATGTTTCTCTTTTTTTTAATCTTTTGACAGACACATTACAATCTATACAAGAGAATCTTACTTCTTACTAATATTATAAATGCGAAAGTTTAGATGGATGTTTGTTAGCGTTTGTAGCCTAAACGGCTGAACGGATCTCCATGAAATTTGGCACAGGTTTAGAGCATAGTCTGGAAGAACACATAGGCTACTTTTTATCCCGGGAATAGTTACGGTTCCCGTGGGATTTATTAGTTTAGTTTTTTAATGTTTACTCGATCATTCTGCAACGGTTCAACATATCTTATTGAAATTTGGCACAGATATAAAACAAAGTCTGGAGTACACATGGGATAAGCTTCATCCCCGAGACATGTCCGGTTCCCGAGGGATACGTAACTTTGTAATTTATATAGTTTGTATGTTTTCTAATACCACGCGGACGATGTCGCGGGCAACAGCTCGTTTTAAAATAAATGTCTGTTATGTATGTTTGTGTAGATGTGCGGACGCGCTGCGCAAGAACAAGAACCTGATCGGCAGCGACCAGCGCGAGTACCAGCGCGAGCTGGAGCGCAACTTCCAGCGCTTCACGGAGCGCCTGGCGCCGCTCGCCGCGCACACGCCCGGACACGTCGCCATGCTCAGGTACTGCAGCCGACACCGCCCTCTATTTATTTAACACTTTTGTACATATAATACAAGAAAGGTAAAATTATGTAACATTAGACTTGCGCAAGGGCGGCCTTATCGCTAGAAGCGATCTCTTCTAGGCAACCCAGTGGGACAGGAGAAGCAAGACACACAAGGGTATATAATAGATATATAAAAAACATATAATATATATGTCGGAGTTGACTTTCTCCCCGACATCATTGCTACCGGGTCTTGGTTTCGTGGGCGTCATTTAGGTGAAGTGCAAGCATCAAAACACCAGAGACACGGATTAATACAATATATTTCGGAATCTACACTTATCACATAGCAAATCAACAACACCGACGGAGCAGCGGGTTCGTGGCACCGTTCTTACTTCTACTATACTACTCTCCTCAATCGACTCGCCACTTTGCCAACACGCACCACAACATGTCACTACAAACGCCGCCCTCTAAGCACTGAACTGCGCCTCGACCCCGCTCGACCTAATAAGGGCCACTCGGGGCGCTTGCTCTGCTCTCATTGGTCGTATGCAAGTTGACGTACTTGTAATTTTAAAAAGAACTAAATACAAATGACATCGAGTTTCTACTTTCGAGAAAAAAGGAATTAAACTAATAATATTATCTTAAACAATATTGAAACGTAAGACAATAACGTTTGTTACACATAAAGCAACAATCAATTTATAGCTTCCTATGACATATATAATACGTACATTGACGGCTTACATAGATTCCAATTAATAACTTTACAGTTTTTGACTTACTTACTTACTTTACGTATTTGAAAAATATCCTATCTTTTAATGTATTAGCTACTAGCTGTTCCCATGCGACTTCATCTGCATGAAATGATAAAAATTTCATTTTATTGTTCACATTTGTCAAATTATCAATTGCAAATGTCAAAATGACATGACATGATGTCAAACCATGGCAACCTTGTCTTTGATGTTGGCAACAACTTAGGGTCTCTTTCCCACATTAGAGTTTTTATCCAAAATATTTACCCCTAAGTTTAACGGCGTGAAAATTTATAGCCTATAGCGTGACGTTAGTATAGGGCTTTTTATTAAAAAAAAGAGTTAATCCAAAATGCTGTGTTTGCTGACATCTTAGACAACAAAGAAGTCTGTTTTTACGCTTCATTATAATAGTATAGATGAAGGAAAATGGTCCTTCGAGTCGGATCTGATCGTAATACAAAGTTTACAAACCAAAAGTATATATCATAAGTGAGGATTCAAAAGTAAATAAACTTTGTTAATAATGTGTATAGCATAACTATGTATTGTTCATATTCTAGCGGAAATATTAAATACTAGCTGATGCTCGCGACTTTGCCCGCGTGAAATTAAAATATAATCCAAAATCTAACTTATGTTACTGACAAATAAATTACCTTTCTAATGAAGAATTATTAAAATCGGCTCAGTTTTTAGTTGAGTCGAATACAAACTAAATTCCAAAAGAACAAATCTTTCCATTTTAAATATTGACATAGAATTGGGTGTGGTATAAAAATTTGAGAGCATCGGTGGCTCAGTGGTTTGAACACTTGTAATCTACTGGTCTTGGGTTCGAATCCTGCTATGTACCAATGTGATTTTCGATTTTTCGAATTTTCATATGTACAAAATTTTCCCGACGTTCTTACGGTGAAGGAAAACATCGTGATGCAACCTGCACATAGCGGCGAAGAAATTCAAAGATATGTGTGAAGTCCACCAACCCGCACTTGGCCAGTGTGGTTGACTATGGGCTAGTCACCCCTTATTAGGGTAGGCTCCGAGCCCCTCGGTGGGGACGTATAGTGAGCTGGTGATGATGATGATAATGATAAAAATTTTAATGTACTGGCAACACTTTTCTCAATTTACTGTTTAATGCTTTTATTGAAATATAGTGTTTATAATTTCAGCAACGGCCTGAACAAGCACGATTATAAATATCAAGCTTAAATCATCGGATTGAAGGAAAACTTGACTTCAAGAAAACTATATTTGTAATGAGATGTAGTATATTTTTTATAATATTGTCATTTAGAAATTGTAACAAGAATGTAGCATCAATATTATTGAATTCGATTTCTACGTATCGATTTCGTTATTTCATAGTTTTTTAGGAAAATAAAAATTTTACTTATGCATTTATTACTGTGAATCTTTTCTACTTGTATTTTAGAATTAAGCTTTATTTTATTTCTCTAATATAGTTAGGTTCTGTCCCGCCACTGGCTGATAGAGGCTCAGATAGCTTAAAAATGACGTCACTGTCAGATAAGGGAACAAAATCCGATTTTCCATTACATTTTTTACAGGTTGGATTGTTATCAGACAGTTTACAATTTGGTGGGACAGGCCTTTATTTTTGTAAATAATGCATTGTAATGCCAAAAGATTTCAGCTCTCAAAATATCGGTATCGTTTTATTATTTTTTAAGTATACAGAAATGAATTAATATTATATATAGGTATTTATATAGGTATATATAGGTATTTTTATTATAAAAATTATTTTTATTTTTGGATTTAGATTTGCATAAAGTTCACTGTACATTCAGTTTTTACTGAAAAAATATATTGTACAGTTAAATCTTACAACTGGAGGCAAATTTGTCAAACTTTACAGTTCTGTGTTACCTGTCAGATTTAATTGTACTGTTTAACTTTTCAGTAAAAACTTAAGTTTTTAAAATAGAGATATTTGAATCAGCACATTTATACGCACTATTTGTTTATTTTCTAAGACTGTTCATACATTTGTATGTATATCTTTAATTACATTGTAAACAATTATTTAAAATTTCTTCTGTGAACAATTTTTTATGATTGATGCAGAAATATGGATTTTTTCAGGTTTTTACTTGTAAACATGTATTTCGATTTGCAGTTATTTTAGTATATTTGTGTAGTAATATATCGTTAAATGTATTCTTTCTTATTCTGATATATTTTATTGATACTCAAATAAAACAATTATTTATATTAAAGTAGTTTTATTATAAACATCACATGCATGTCACGCAGGCTTACTGAGTGCAAGTAACTTCTCAACATTTATATTCATTTGAAAAACAAAAATAGTCATTTCAAAAAGTTTCTTGCCTTATAACTGACAATATTCTACAAAAATACAGAAAAAAAACATACAGACGAATTGAGTACCTCCTTTTGGGAAGTCGGTCAAAAAATAAACTACAGTCAAACGAAATTGATCCCAATTTTATTAAAACGACAGAATTTCTTTTTTCCGTCACAAAGTTTTCATTAACACTGTTTTATTCAACAATTTACCTAAAATTGTTTATCTAAGATATTTCCAACACAATTAGAACAAAGTGACTTTTCATTAAATGTTTTGCAGTTGTAAGTTCAGAAACATTTCTTCCGCATGTAAAAAATAAATTTACTAGAAATTTTATACATTTTCTATGACAGTATAGAAATATCTTGTTGAAGTCTTCACACTAAAAGTTACTTCATAAATCTATATACTGATATTTCAACATTAGTCAATACATATACATTACACTAGAAAATTACATAAAAAGATTATATTCCAAAACAAAAAAAAAACATTATTTTGAAAATGGAATCCTAAGTAACTGAAATTTAATGAACTGTTAAAAAAATAACACTTGTTACCTTCAAAGTATCACTTGTGTAATAAATACATTGGTAGGGAACTGTTCACATTTGTTGCAATACTGCAAGTTCATCGAACACAAACTTCACAACACTTGTACACCACACATATAACTATATAAGCCCTTACAACCAATTAACACTAAATTTAGTAAGTTTCTTGTATCAAGTCCATTTGAGTCATGTACTGCGATATTATTCAGATTCTGTTGGCGTGTGCCAAGTCAGCCGCTCTTCATAGAATGAAATTACCTGAAAATTTATCAATAACTCATTTTTCACGCATTTCACTTGTACACACTAGCTGTTGCCCGCTACTTCGTTCGCAATTTCAAAAAATAGTAATAAAAAAGTAGCTTATAATATGGCTGTCTACACCTTTCAGTGAAAGTCTGGTCGAAATCTTGCAGCTGTTTCAGAGATTACAGCTTGTGGACAGACAAAAATTTTTTAAATGCATTTTCGTTATCAGCAACGCAAATACATCTACCTTCCCGAAATTTGGAATTTTTCTTTTGATATTACAGACACTCCCATTTTATTATATTTATAGATAGAATATAGAATAGATTTTCCAAATATCTAATTGGCTAATATAATATATTTTATTATCTGGACAATCACTGGCTTATGGTTTTTTCATTATTCAAATTCAACTATTAAGTAAATTAACCAGACTCACTTGTTGAGGACATTTAACATTGGCTACTTTGGCGGGGACCAGCTCGGCTTCATCAGAGTCCATCCATTTTATTAGGAACATTAATTCACCTGTAGCATCTGATGCACCTGCAATTACAATTTACATATATATATTTATATAAATAATAATTTTATTATCTACATAAACTAGTTTTCTTCAACTAGAGAGAGATGGATGGATTGCGTGAAAGGTGACATGATCAAGGGAGTGTTGATGATGCGCCGACCCTACTGGAGTAGGATAAGGAGGGAGATGATGATGTAAACTAGCTTTCACCAGCGACTTCCTCTGCATGGAATTTGAAAAACCTAGCACACAGTAGAACCTAGATAAGTTAAAGTCCAAGGGAAACACAAAATATTTTAAGTTATAGAGGTTTTAAGTTATCTAGGGTCTATGTTGTAGAGGTTTTGGGTTCTGATGGGAAGGGAACATATTATTTTTTTAAGTTACCAATGTTTGAGTTATCGAGGTTCTACTGTAGTAGCATGAGTGTTTTTTCAGACTGTGTTATATATCTGTGACAAATTTCATTGACAATCATTTAGTAGTTCTGGCTATACTATCAAACAAACATCCGTCCATCTGAACTTTCGCATTTGTACCATTAGTTTAGATATCACAATTTTTATCTTTTATGCCACTGGATGAAAACTATGGATCGAAACGGTAGATAAGGTTTGTGTTGGAATTTTAAAAACCAAATAAAAAAGTTACTTGGGTTACAACTGTCAGCTTACATTGAGACATTTGATATCAGACTTCTGACATTGTTTTAAGTATTATATTGCAACAAGAGTATGATATGTACTGTATGCAAATTTTTGTTAAATGGACAATTCATAAATATTGGATTTATTTATATTTATAACTATATGCTCATGACATCCACTAGATAAAATTTAAAAATATAGCCTATATTACTCGGCAATAATATAGCTTTTTAATGGTGAAAGAATTTTTGAAATCTGCCCAGTATATTTTGAGTTATTTAATTACGTACAAAAATACAAATCTTTCCTCTTATAACATTAGCACAGATTAATATTATTAACGGTGAAGAAAACATTGAGATGCAACCTGCACATATCGGCGAAGAAATTCAAAGATATGTGTGAAGTCCACCAACCCACACTTGGCCAGCGTGGTTGACTATGGCCTAGTCACCCTTATTTAGGGTAGGCTCCGAGCCCCTCGTTGGGGATGTATAGTGAGCTGGTGATGATGGTGAATATTATTAACAATACCAAACTTACCAATGATTTTTTCAGCTTTTAAACCTTTATCAAAGCCTGATTTTTCATCCTTTTCACGCTTGTTTTCTTTAGGTTCCTCAACAGAGGAGACACTGGTGCCGCGGCCCTTGCGTCCCGACACACTCGTCTCCACACTTGACTCTCGAACTCGTTTCTTGCCTCTTTCTTCAGTCTTTTTGGATTTCTATAATAAAATAACAATTTTAAGCAAACCTTATTATGAAACTATTAGTCTCCTAATTTCTTGAAAAATCATCAATATACTTGTACAGTATAAACAAAGTTTGACAGAAAACCTATTAGTTTAAGTATTTTTCCATTTTGTTTTGTATTGATACTTAGGAATCTCCCTAAATTAAATTTTTTTTTTTTGAAAAAAGCTTCCCTTAATATCTATTTAACGCAATTACTAAATGCATCAATAATTTTGGTGGCTCAAAGTTGCATATCTGCTCTCCCTATATACCTTAATGTCCTGCCGCACAACTATACTATCTGCCCAACATTCGCCAAGCCGCAAGACACCTACCTCTTTTTCCTTTCTATTTTCTTCAAATGTTTTGATCAACTCTTCGCAATCGAGATTTTCAACAGGCTCCCATGTGCTCTCGTCTTCTCTGTAGCCCTTCCACTTTAGCAGATATTGGATCTAAAACAACATGAGGTGACACAGCAGAAACAAATGAGAAACTTCTCCTGTTTGAAGTCTATTAAAAATGATTTTAAAGCCAGGCAGGCCTTTTTGCAATTGAGACATCTTAATACAAGTAATTATTCTATTTGTTACATTTTATTGAACAGCTTTCATGCATTGAGATCAGTAAATAAAATCTTCCTCAGTTTGTTTACATAAATATGGCTTAGCGCACAGCATAGTTGTGCGACTCCTAACTAAATCGTAGTAGATTTAGCAACAATAATGTCTGAACTGTCTGCTTCATGTAACATAAGTAATCTAATTGAATGCAAAAGCTGAAGTATTTAAATAAAAGTTCGCGTCATATATCCAAAACAATACATTTCAAGTGAAGCAATGTATCATTTTGAATAATTAATCACTTAAATTATACGTATATAACACAGAAATTATAAGTAACCTGTTAAAATTGGTTTGTAAAATATCAAAATTCAAAATTCGACTAAACTAACCTTTCCTTTGACTATTTTTTTATCAAGCACTTTTTCCACTACGTATTCTTCTTCGCTGGACGGATCACTTGTTTCGCCTTTTTTGTCCTTTTTGCCCATTTCTAATACAATTATGGAACAAGTTTTATAACAGTTACGCTAAACGCTTCCAAACGCTTCCGAAATAACCGTCCGAAAAGCGCTTCTATTTTTTCTGAATGTATCAAAATGGCGCGCTGTCAAATTCGATTGACATTAAACTACGTGTAAAACCTATTCGTGAAATGAAATGTATTAATTCCTTTAAAATATAATCAATGTTTTAAATATCTTGTATTTCACAATCCTTTTTGTAATACTCCATTCACTTAATCATGTTTATTGTAATAAAAAGAAATATTAATGTAAAAACAAATTAGTTTCCCCAGCTATAGCTAACTTCATTAGGTGGTTTGTCAAATTCTATAATTCTCGTTTGACAGCAGTCACCTGGACATTTGACGCGAGCTGTCACTCGCAAATTGGCGTTCCGACTCTGCTTCAGTTCAGTTCCAATTTGTTGTTGATTCGTTGATATGATTGTTGGATCGGTGTCAGTTAACAAGTGGAGTGGACTCACGCATACCATCAAATGAAACGATCTAGCGGTGTGTTGTTTCGTAGATTGTATTTAAAGGTTTAATTGTGTGTTCTAACAAAATATCAAGAAGTTATATGAGTGGTCATAGTGTTTTGTGAACATTTTCTAAATCTATATAGTTAGGGCAATTATTATAAGACAGTAAGATAACAAGTTTTTGTGTCGTTTCGAGTGCTTTCAAATTGACTTTTGACGTCACGTACGGCGACCGAACGGTTCGCACCGAAGATTATGTAGGAACTGCGTGTTTATAATCTTCGAAAACGTTTGTTGCTTAAATTGGATGTTGAATGGATCACACGACGTGAGCGTGTTGGAAATATGCTTTTGAAATGTACAGCAGACGGGAGACGGATCAAAGTGAACGGAGCTCCGGTGGGGCAAGGGAATGTAGCGAGAGGTTGGTATTGACCTGGTTACTTACTATTTGTTTTTATAGTGGTCCTCATCCTTCTTGCTTCCGATATCTTCGTCACGCACAGAACGTTATCATAAAAATATTCAAACATTTAATCTGCGAGCACAACCTGTTGCTTCTGTTTGACAAGTCGGTAATTATTGTTTGTGTAAACAGATTATTCATTCGCATGCTCAGCAAATTGTACGTTCTTTGTGCTAAAAATATAGTATTTGGCTATTATACTGAGTTTTTAAACCATGACATTGCCTTGAAATATTATCTTAATTTTAAACTTTTTTCGTTTGAAATACCATACTGAATCTGGCTCTATTACGTTACAATTAATTAAGCGCTTGCTAGGAATCTCCTTGATTACGAGCTCTTTACATAATAATGTTATAGTATGGACTCAACATAGGAAATGTTAACATATAAGATAAATAACTATAAAATATAGCAGTTAGAGACGATTCAGTCGACTAGTTAATTAATACTTTCACAGCGCGAGTTTCGTTTTGCTTTCTTGTTTCACCTGATAGTCACGTATGTGTAGACTTGTTGAACGCCTTCCGTGTTCAACTTCAGACGATTGACGGATATATGTACAGTCGGGGACACTGGCGGTGGTGAGCTAAAATTTTTTGAAAAATTTCAAACGAGACGTGGATTAAAATCAATACAACGTAGCTTATAAATGTGTCTGTACGAAAAGTCGGTTCGTGATACAAGGCTTCTTTTCATTTTTATCCGTTCGTTTTTACCGCATACTGCTATATAATTAGTTATTTGTAGAAAGGCTTTGTCTCGTTGCAGAAGGCAATTTTTTAAGTGGGACACCGCTGATTTCCGCGATTGTACATCTGAAAGGAAGACATCACACTCGCTCTCTTTGTAGAAAGAGAGACAGAAGTATGTCCTTGTTCGACTAGTGAAAAGAGGCGGTCGCCTAGGGAACCCTTAATCCTCGTGTTTTTAAGCCAGTTTAGCCGAGAGATTTTCCTTAGCAACCTGGATTACATAATTTTATACTCTTTTGAAGATGAGTCATTTTATGTTTCTGACATTTTTAGTACTTTACAGAATATATGGATAGAATACGTGAAAGATCTGCGTAAGAAGGCGAAGATTTATATAGATAGAGTATTGAAGAGTAATACAAACTGTGTCGACCCTCCATAAAGATTACGTATATAAGAGTGAACTTTTGCTTTAGAATCAATAAAATGTAGCGGAGAGATTGGTTTGTAATTTTTTTACACTCTTTTATCCCTCAAGTTTACAGGCGTGATTGCTTACTATAATCAATGTTGGTATTCGTATTGTTTGCGTTCTACGAATGCGTCCGCGTCCGGTAACCTTACTCTGCGACACAGTAAAATTATAAAAATGTTATCGCCTCAGCTAACATCCGTTGAATCGGGCGTTCTATGATTGAGTGAGTACTTAAATTAACACGTTTACTGCCGCAAGTAAAATCATAATTCTTCATCTCGTCGGCGGCGCCCAAATGAGCCCCCAATGATATTTTCGATAGTATGTAGCAAGTTTTTCTAGACCCACAAGCACTAGGATAAATTAAATTGCTACAATTTTGTGGAAAGTGAGCGAGTTCATAATTCGTAATTAAAACTACGCCACCCAAACACCGCAAGAAAATTGCTAATAGTAGTAAGTACTGTCTGCATATACAATACTAAAAGCGTTAGAAGTTTTAAGTTTTGTAGTAAATAAGTATGGTGTGCAAAATTGTAAAACGGTGTATTTGAGGTGCAAAACAATATCTGTTAGCATTCTAGTTGCGTATTGATGTAATTTATAAGTTCTTAGAAAAAAAATTACGCTTCACCGTGGCATACGCTTCCGCGTTACGCAAGTAGTGTTTTTGTGGTATACACTTAATTGAAAAAAACTAGGAGATTGAATTAAACCATCAGTAGTTCAGTTATAAATTATAGAATTCGTTTTAAAAGGGGCAGACAAGCAATGTGTCGCTAACTATAAGTGCGGGAATACACATGCAACTAAAATGTTCATATAACGTCTCTATAAAAATATCATGTCGTATTTAATTTTCTACTCATGCTTGTAACTGGCATAACTAGTAACTAGCATGCAAATATCGCTGGCATGTGTATTCTAACCCTTAATTCTGGATACTGTCCATAACTTCAAATGACCAACTTTTAAAGGCAGACTTTACTTGAGTTCGGACTGTTATATTTAAATGTAGACTTTCTCGATAATCCGTAATTAAGGTAGCCACTTAGTCTAGTTAGGACATTAAGATAGACTTCTTAATGACTGTGCAGCAGTAATTAACCGTGTGTGAGGTTAAATGACGATATTCTAGGGAAGTTAATACCGGCCTTCCCGCAGCTTCCGTAACTATCACGTGTGTCTCGGAATAAATAAACCTTGCTTTTATTGCGTTATCATAGAACAAGTTAGATGCGAACTTCTATTAAAGATTTTCCTCTTGATTCGAGGAAACGACTTAGTTCTCGGTAAATTGTCACGTGTTATGTAGACTTATAAAAGAATGAACGCGTAAATGATCACTTTCTAAAACGTTACAAAAGTAATTCTAGTCGGATATTATTATTTAAAAAAAATCATTTTTGAAATCGACCTTTATAGATATTCCACACAATTCGCTGTTTAGAAATGACAGTTTTTTTTCGTTCCGATATAATAACACTAGTTGTTACTGTCGGCTAATAGCCCCTGCAGATTCCAGACTATCGGCCGACAGTCTTGGCCGTCGAGCCGACTAAACTATCCGCCGATAAAATCTGTAGTCTGCGACGGTTCTTGTTCTATCTTTATACCGTCAGTGCCAAAATGGCGAAAATTAAATGAGAACAAAATACTAGTAGCGTCAGTGAAAAGAATGTCTGTGTTTGAAACCCGTTAACAAAAGAAGTCCGAATGAAAAGAATTGCTTACGTTCACAGACTAGTTATCGAGATAGACAAAACGTTCCTGTTAAAATATTTAATTTAATTATACTGCATCATTCGTTTGTCTAATTGACTACTTTAGTATTTAAAAAATAATTTGTATTGTATACTTTGTGTAGATAAATAATGAGTTAACTCGTTATTAAATTGGGTTATCTGTCTGGATTACGGATTGTTTATTATTTGAACGCAAGCGTTGTAATAACGAATGTTGGACAGGAAAATAATATTATGAACATTGCATGCTGCATTATGATGTACGTTTACTATCTTTGATCGCTTATAACGGTGTTTTTTTTTTTAAACAGACGCTGAACCTGTATAAAAACTAATTTTATTTAAATTTAGCTTATTAGCTTAGCTAAGTTTGTTACCGATTTTTTAGATATATCCATTACGTCACAAATAGCTGACAAAATAGACTTGTCCATATTATGACAATGTTTACAAAATATGCACAGAGTAAGCAAAACTTGAATAGTTTCGTTACTATTTTTAAAGATCATTTTAATTTTTTTTTTCGCCTCGATTTTAACGAAGTTGAGAGATTTGTAGATTTATTTATGGTCCACATATGCAATAACATTATTAGGTCGGCAGAAAGTTATTTGTAGCTAAAGTCTGTGGACCCGGATCGAAAATCAAAAGCGGCACGATCTTTTGATGTTAGGCTCAATAATATTATATGCAATATAAACTCCACAGATAAACAAACAAGTAGATATATCAAAGTTATTTTATTTATGTCTGTCACTTATTTAAAATTAAACCGTTTATTAGTTTAATGACGTGGATGAAGTAACTAAACATAATTTATTATTAATTACAAAAGATAGGTACTAATAACGGTCTAGATCCGTATAGTTTGGCTAGGTCGCGTAATGTATGTATGCTACAGTCGGGTGTTAGCAGGCAGGCATACGAGTATGCGAAGTGCACTTATCTGTTAGTTATCAGAGGCGGGCGGGGTCAGCGGGCTCGCGCCGGCCTGTGTACTGATCGATACTCGATACCAAGACACGCTCTGTACATACTACCACTACGATAAAACACGATATTTAACAAATATCTTGTTAAACTTGTGTGTCATTTAAAGAAACTTCTGTTAACTCATAGTAAACAAAATAGCGCATCCATGTACTCTCTGTGTCGATAGCCTCTGTGTTAGTCAAAATGTGGATTTTGTAGACAATAATAAATTGTGCATCATGAAAGAACCTATGAATTAACATTCCCCGCTTTAATACCTTAGCACGAATTGGCCAGTTCGCCCGGTGTAATACCATGACCACACAGAAAACTGGCGTAAAGTGGAACCGTTTCCGCGTTTTTTCTGATGAATGTGGTACCGGAATCCTAATTTTACTCCCTTTCCCTTTCCATCCTTTTCTTAAGAGGATAGTTTGTAGGAAGAAGAAATATCTTCTCTATGTGCGTCTCCTTCTCCGTCAATTAAGGGTAGGCAACGCATCGTCAATTGTGGATGTCTGTGGGCAGCGGTCGCTTTCCAGGTGGATTCAGGTGGCCGCTTGCTTTTGCCATCTTATAATATTATTATGTGTACAATTTCTATGAAAATATAAAGTGTACAAGACTACTAGATCTGTAGTAGGCAAGTAATATTTGCTTGTTTATAAATGTTATGTTTTGAGTTAAGTTGTACGTGTTTCAGTGGTCGAAACTTAATAGTTAATGTTATCAAGTAGAACATGTGGTATCTAATTAAACGTGTAAAGGGAAGCCACAAAGATAAGATAATTAGGTATGGACGTCACATGAATGGGTTTGTGTCGTTGACTCGCGTGGGCCAAAGTTTTATTCACAAAAATGTTATCAATTTTATCTGTGTAGCATAAAAGTGCGCAGTGCTTGAAAGTTTTTAATCAAACAGTGTTGTAATCACGTGAAAGGGATTATTGTTTTAAATCAAATCTACATGGATATTATTCGGCTATAATTATATATTTTTATCCATTCGCATTTATAGATGCTCTTTAATTAATAGAGGAAGTGTTATACCAAAAGAGAGAGAGAGAGGGA